TCCCCTGAGAATGTGCCTCAAGGCCAGGGCGCCCTATGCCCCCAGTGGGCAAATAGCTTCCCCAGGGAAGCAATGAGGTAATTACGCGCCGCCGCGCGCGCGTGCTATTGCGATGCTACGGCGCATCTGAACGTCCCGCCCGCCCAACAGCACCTGGTGTGGAGGTTCGCCTTTGCCAGACCCGCGCGTTAGGTTTTGCCGTCTTGCCCGCTCGACCGGATTTGCCCGCTGCGCAAGCGCGCCAGCTCGAGGGCGCATCATGCTTGAATGTCCCGCCCACCCGACCATACTCGCCTGTTGGGGCTTGCCCACCGAACCCGATCTCGCCCCACTTGTCCGCGCCCAATCATCTCGGTGATACATCGCGCTCTGATGTCCCATCCGCCCGACCAGACCCACTACTGGTAGGGCCGGCCTTTGCTTGGCCCGCGCGTCGTCTGCTGCGCATGCGCGCCAACTCGAGAGTGCATCGTGCAATGCTGCCCCGTCCGCCCGACCCGATTGGCACGCTGGGGTCTGCCCGCGCGACCTGACCTCGCCCGCCGCGCGCGCGTGCCATGTCGATGACACATCGCACTTTGGTATCCCGCCCGCCCCAACCTGTCTGCCTTCCCCTCCCCGTCTTCTTTTAGATCTGAAAAAACTCTTCGGGCCCGTCGGCGGGCCCATGCTGGGCGCGCGCGGCGGGGGGCAGCCTCGCGGCGAAGCTTCTGGAGAGCTCGTTGACCTCCTCTACTCTCCCTTTCGCATCTGCCCCCCCTCCCCGGCGACGGCGATGCATCTTCCTTGGGGCAAGCCGACCGTCGTCTCCCCTCTGCCACCTGCGGCGCCTGAGAGGAAAGAAGAATCTGAAAGCTCCCAGACTATCCCAAGAGGTGCTCCTTCCCTGTGGAGCTCAACCAACTCTTGTGGCCCGAAGCACGCCTGTTGAACTCAATCCAAACCGGGTGCCACCCAAGGCGAGGTGTAGAATTCGACATGGAAGTGTGGAACCCCACTATTGAACCTCTACTCCAATAGTGAACCGCAATTCCAATCTTGGCATCAAGAGTTCGGTCATTCAACTCGAAAACTTCGAACTCAATCATAGAGTTTGCGGCTGGACTTTGAGCTGAGCTTCCATATTCGAGCCCGTTTGCAATATCTGCAATTCTCAATCAGGCGGGTGCCAACCCGCGGCGTGGTGCCCACGAATGCGCGGCAAACTGAGCTTGGCGGTGGGTGCAGCTCGCATGTTATAGATGTAACCGATTATCGGCGAGACGTGAGACACTCGGTTTCGGGGGACTCGGCTTGGCTTAGCGAGGCAGTCGAACAAATGGACCCAGTCTAAAATTTCACGCGGCCTCCCGCTGGGAAACACCGGGCCGTCAAATTCCAGGACGGGCTCGTCGAAGCGCGTCGGCGGGCCCGAGCCCCGGCGAACTGGAGTCTCGGGCCCCCCCTAAATCAATCGATGCAGACACCAAATGGCGCGGGGGGGCGCGGGCGCAGCACAGCAGGCGCGCGCGGGCAGGGGAGAGGCAGCCAGTAAGAAACAGCGGGCGCGGCGGCGTTGGGGGGGGGGGGGCGGCGCGAGGGGCGGGGCGGGGGGGAACGAGAGGCAGCCTGGATCGGCGCCCGAGTAGATTTTGCCCGCGCTCTCAGATCTAGGCGAAGAAGCGAAGGGGCCGACTGCGCGAGCCTGTTTCTTCGAGCCCGGCGAGCCAGGTCGGCTGCGATCGACGGGGGGCGGTCGGAGCTGCGACGAGCGGCCGCGTCTCGGACAGGGACTTCGCGGCCGAGCCGCGCGAGGTGTCCGAGCAGATGGGGTCGGAGGGTCGCGCCGCGTCGCCGGCGCCTCGGCGCCGTCGGCGCGGAGGAGACCGAGCTCCGCGCCGAGCTGCGTCGGCGACGCATCGGCGATGCGGCGCGGCCCTCCGACGCTATCTGCTCGGGCCCCATCCCCGGAGGCCCAGGGCCGCGGAGGGGGGCGGGGCGGAGCGGCCTCGGGGCGCGGCCTGCCGCGGCGGCCCCGGGCGCGGCGCCGCAGCTGCCGCCCGGCGCCGGCGCGGACGTCTCCGCGGGTAACGCTTGGGGGGCCCAAAAATGCACACCACCACCTCCCTCCCCACCTCCCTCTCGCTGGAGAGAGGAGAGAGGAGGAGTCGACGTGGCGGTGGGGTATTTTGGTATGTTCTTTGGGGCCCCCAAACGCTAGCCCCCGACGGAGCCTGCCCCGCTCGTGGAGCGCAGAAGCTTTGAAGCTCTAGCGCTCGCGCGCGCGCCGCGGCCGCGCGCATCTCCGCGCCGGGCAGAGCTGCCCGGCAACGCGGACAGCGCTGCCATGGAAGCGCAAGCAGGGGGTCTACGCCGAGGAAGAGGACGAGGAGAAGGATGCCGCGGAGCGAATGGACCCAAGGGCGACCGACGACGGCGGGGCGGCCAGTTCGGGCACAAGCGGCGGTGGCGCCGGCCCGGTGGAAACGGCTGAGCAACGGCCTCCCGGGACGGCGGCGAACCGTGTCAGGGCGGACGCAGACCTGCTTCCGCCGAGCTGCCCGGCGCGGCCGAGCCCGCGCCGGGCCGCGCAGCTCGGAGATCGAGCGCGCGTGCTCTCGGGAAGCACGAGGCAGAGTGCAGGCGAGATCATGGGGGGGAGCGAGGCCGAAAGCAGAGCGGGGGGGGCAATGGGATGAGAGGGAAAACCAGACGTCGGTGCTCAGCAGGTCACTCCCAGAATAGGACGGGAAGAAGGGGGAGGGCACCTGAGATCCCTTCCAACGCTGGAAAATTATCATAGCGCAGCGCGTCGTCATCTCCTCGCCCCCGCGCGGCGAATTCACGCCGCGGGCAACGTTCAGTGGGCTCCCGAAACCACCGAGAAGCGCGCCAACTATTGCGCGCGTAATTCCGATGGGCAAGAAACACATCCTGGCGGTGGCGTGCTGGCTGATCCTTCTGAATGCCATCGTGCCTGAGTCAATGCAAGGTTCCGCGTGGGGGGGGGGGAGGGCGTGCGACGTGCGTTATGCTTGTGGCGACGGAACTACGACAATGGAGGCCTTCCAAGAAGACGATCGACATTGTTCTGGAGCGCGGGGGAGGGCGATGGACTGGGGCCGAGAAGCGCCCAGGACACAGCCACAGGGCCATAGGTATCGCTCAGGCCGACGATTGATGAGGACTGAACCAGGGGGCGCCTCTTCCGGATGATAGCGCGGCCATCGCCTTCAGGAGCCTCCCCCAGAATCTGTCGAACCTGGCCGGGCGAGGGCGAGCTGCTCACGAGTCGGGACAATGCTGCTCTGCGCGTGCGGTCGAGGTCCCCGATCGGGGACTCGGCTCCGACGCTGGCCAGGATCTTGAGGGGGGAGGTGGGCGCGGCGTTCCCGGGCGCGCTCGCGGGGAGCTGCCCGGCCCCCCTCGATCCGGCCGGGGCGAACTTGGCAGGCAACAAAAAGGGCCGGCAGGGGACAGGCGCCAGCAGCCACACACATTGAAGCTGGCCGTGCTTCTGCTCATCCCGAGAAACAGGTTTTTGGTGGCCCCGGCCCTCCCTTCCACCTTCCCCGAAGGTCCTTTTCAGCTGCATTTGTTCGCCTTCCCCCTTCCGCCCGATTGCGCGGCCGTGGCGGGCGCGAAATTTGACGCTCCGGTGCCCCGGCCCCGGTCCCGGGGCTCGTTGAAAACTTCCTCGGTTCCTCGGAATCTGGCCTGGCGCCCGGAACGATGACCGTCTTCTTCACATGCAAACAAAGGCTGGAAGCCAAGGCGGCGACTGCCCGCCCTTCCATAGCAATCTTGAGCGCGGGGTAAGTATTGCAGGCCACTAGGCCGACGTCGTCGGCAAATGCAAAGATGCTGCCGGGAGAGAGGGGGTGATCTTGGAGCACGCCGCGCGGAGGAGGACTGGGTTGGATAGGGACCCCGAAAGCGGGCGCCCCTGCTTGAACCCCCTGGCTGCCGGGGGCACGCATTCACGGAGGCCCGAAGTTAATGCCGAAACTAGCGTTTGCGTAGAGCACCGTCGCCCCTGGCATGGCATGGCGCGGGGTGTTCACCACGCGCAAAATTCACTCGATCACGCTGCGCAGGAGTCTCGGGAGGGCCGCCTTCGCGTCGAAAGCGCAAAAGCCTCTCCGCGCGCGGGCGCTGACAGTGCCGCGAGATAGCACGAGCATCTGAATCGATGATGTTGTTGTCACTCATGGCCCTCCCTTCGATGGGCATCTTTTGCTGTCCGCAGCAAACTTGTCGACGCAACCTGTGGGGGCGTGGGTGGCGGCGGCGACCGCTTTGTTTCAAGCAATGCTGGATGTGACGGGTCTGGCGCCTTCGGCGGCGCGACAGACGCCCGTGCCGAGGGCGTCGGAAGCCTGCTCGCCCTTGGCTAGAAATACAGCCGGGCCATAATACCAAATCTGGGTCTGGAACTCGGCAGCCCCAACAAAGACAGATAGACCTGTCAGAGGACCTCCTGAGGACGGGTGCCACCTCTTTCCTGGCAGGAGCGCCGCCACGAAAGTGGCTTAGTAGGTCCTGGAGCCCTGGGGAACTCGTGAAAATGCAAGGAACCAGGAAGAGTGAGAAGAACGGCGAGATATGATAATGGCGCTGGTGGAGCGGGCCAGGAGAAGTGAGACGGACGAACCAACCGACGAGAGTAATGCTAAAATACGTTAGCTTGTAACCCGCTCCTGCTCCACTGGTCACACTCCTCCCCCTCATCATCCTCCTGTCGGTGTCGCTGTCGCTATCGCTGTCGGCTTCGGAGTTCGGTTCGATCGCAGTCGTCCTCCCCCAAGTGGCCTTCGCCACTGGAGGAGGTTGATCAAACTAGTGGGAATAATAGAAGAAGAGGCCTCGCCACCTGGGTGCCATCTGCGTCCTCCTTCTTCCTCTCACCCTCCTCCTCCTTCCCCCTCCTCCTCCTCCTCCTCCTTCTCCTCCTCCTCCTCCTCCTCATCATCATCCTCCTCTTCCTCCTCCTCCTCTGCGCGTGCTGCCGCTTGCGACGCCTGGTTGCCGCCCTGCGGCTTGCTCGGGTTCGTGACTGAGCACCACGACCTCCGGAACGGACAGCAGCCACAATACGCCCCCGACACAAGCCCACACCCTGAAGCCCAGCAGCTCAGACGAGCTCGGCGTTTGGGAACCCAGGGAGCTCTTACCACAAGCCGCTGAGGAGTGCAAACGTACAACCTGAAGAACAACGTAAATACAGTCAAAAACCCTAATAAGGACGCGCGGTAAGGACGCAAGACCCTTGGAAGCCGAAGTTGGGATTTTTGGGGCGGCGGACGACGAACACCCCAAGGGTACCCTGACAAGCGGGCAAGCGAAAGCGGCCAAGGACGAGCCGCGAGAGCAAGGAAAAGCAAGGACGCAAGGGTACCCTGAGCAAAGTCGCGCGTCCTTATTACGGTTTTTGACTGTAGCACGCAAACACATGGGCATAACCGCTCGACGGCTCGCGGGGCTCTCTTGGGTCGGCGCCAGGCCCTCCCTGGCCTGCGGAGCGTGCCGCGGGGCCCCGAGCAGATCCGAGAGCTCCACGCAGACCTCCACTGCTCATGTTCATGCCACTCTCTCTCTCTCTCTCTAACGGAGCGCGTGGCGACCCACGTCCCCACCCATGTCGGGTCTTCGACTGGACAAAAAATCTGGGGCTCAACCCGGGGGGGGGGCACGACGGGTGGCGTTCCATCCTCGAGTTCGTCGTGCAGGCGTGCGCCCGCGCTCCCCCGCCCCAAGTGGGAGAAGAGATCGCCTGCGACCCTCCCGTGGGAGGAGGGCGGGCTGAGACAACGCCGCATCTGCGCCGGTGTCCTCGGACGCGTCAGAGGGGAGGGCGCGGTCGAGAGGGAGTAAGAGAATGAAGAGGCTGCGGAAGAGGGGGAGGGGGAGAGGGAGGGGGAGGAGGAGGAGGAGGAGGAGGAGGAGGAGGAGGAGGAGGAGGAGGAGGAGGAGGAGGAGGAGGAGGAGGAGCAGGAGGTCCCCGGACCCCTCCGGGGCTCCAGACGCAGCAGTCTTCCGAGCTGCGTGCGGCCGTGGCGACGATGGGGGCCCCCCGAAGGCCGACGACCGCCGTCTCAGCTCGCCCCCTCTCGTTGCGATCTGGCCTTCGGGTCATCGCTCGGCTCCCCGGCGGCCCCTCGGGGCGATCTGGGCCCTTCCCGCGGAACGCTCTCGGCGAGGCGCAGCCGCCGGAAAGCACCCCGAGGCTGGGACACCGCCGAGAACCGACGAAGAGGCCCGAAAACCTTGCACCGCCCGTGCCGTGAAAACCTTGCACCGCCCGTGCCGTTGTCTCAAGTCGCCCCTCCTCTGATCCACTTCCCCTGGCCTTGGGCAGAACGGCAAGGTCCGCGCGGATTTCCTGGATCTGCGCTGGGGCCCCCTCCCTGGCGCGCGGGGCGCGCCACGGGCGGCGCCGGAGGCGCCCGGGGGCCCCCGCGACGATCAAAGACATCCGCGCGGACCTCCGCAAAATTAGGCTTTGCAGTTTTTTGCTGTTCGATTGAAGCAGAGAGCTCGTCTGGGATCCTCCCTTCCCCTCGAGCAGAATTGCGCGGCCTCGGGAGGCCGCGGGTGTGCCAAGTCCAAGCATACATGCCAGCGCTTGGGGGGCCCTTGTGGGCCCGCCAGGAGGGCCTCTTCGGCGCAAGGCCATCCTTCTAGCGTGGGGGAAGCGAGTCATGAGGGCAGCGGGTCCTGGACCCCTGGCGCCTCTTCCCATGACAAGTTTTTCCTCCGGGGCCGTTTTCTGACAGTCCTGGGGCCCGTGGAGGGCCCCGAGGGCCCGAACACGGCGAAAAACCTCAGGGCCCGTTTCCCTCGGGACCCGCTTCCTAGGACGAGCCCAAGACGAGGATAACATCAAGTGAGGATAAACCGAGAATCTCTGAGAGCTGGCGGCTCTGGAAGATGTCTCGGGCGCCGTGGCCTTCGCGGAGCAGAGCGTTCCAGAACGCTCTGGAACGGATTTATCCTCGTTCTAGCCCCGTGTGATCTCCCCCACGGCGAACTCTTGCGCGTGGCCGGCTTGAGCAGAACGGGGCGGTGCACGGCCAGAATTGCCAGGCCGCCCCCCCTTGGCCGCACGCGCACGGGGTAAGGGATGGGAGGGGGGAAGCTTCTTAGAAGGAGGCTGCTTCTGACAGGGCGCCGACCCTACATCTATAAACCAGGCCCGCAAAGCAGGGGTGCTTCAAAGAAGCCTTTCCCCCCCTCATCGCCTCCCCCCCTTCTCCTCCCTCCCTCATCTCCTCCGCCCCAAGAAGCCTTCCTCCCTACCTCATCTCCTCCCCCCACTCCCTCCCCACAAGGACGACCCCAAAATTCCCTATCCTGTCCGGGCCGTGGGCGTCCTTGGGGCCGCCCGAACGCCTGCACCACGCGCCACGCGTCCGTTGCGTTTGACCATCACGCTCACGTGCGCGGTGTATCCCCCCCCAATGTCCCCCTCTGCGCGTGGCTGGCTCGTGCAGTTTGGAGGGGGGGGCTCAACAACCAGTCCACCATCCCAAGAGGTGGGGGAGCCAGTGCAAGAGCGACTAGCACATTGCAGATAGACCGCGAGGCCGAAAAGAGAGAGTGCGCGGTGTACCACCCCCCATGCCCCCCTCTGCGCGTGGCTGGCTCGTGCAGAACGGCGCGGCGCCCGGCCAGAGCTGCCAAGCCGCCCCCCCGGCGGCGGGCGGTCGGGAATCTTCCGGGTAGAGCTGTGTAGAAAACACTATCAACATACTCGATAAAAAAAAGATTGTCTGATCGTCTCTCCCAGCCCCATCCTCCCAACTCGATACCCATCGGTCGGAAGGGGTTTGTAGACATCTGAAGTAGGAAGCTGGAAGGCGTTGAACTCGATCATTGAAGTGGGAAGGCGCCTAAAGTAGTTTGGAATCAGGGAATCCGGAAATGCCTACTTTCAACGACCGACGGGCAATTGCGTTTCTTGCTCTTGCGCGTGGCAGGCTCGAGTGAGGGGCCACGACAGGGGGGCACTGGCACAGGGGGGGGGACATCGACCTGGAATCGGCGATGCATCGCCGATAGATCGGCGATAGGCTCCCAATATAGGAATCCGCCCGTCCCTGGGCGGTGTGGGGCTATCAGACCCCTGGCGGCAATCAGTGGGCGATGGGGGGTCGATGCATCACCCCCTATGCCTATCCCCGGCTCCCAATCATCCTCTCCGTCTGGTTTCCAGGCCACAACTCGGATCTCTGGCAGCCGTTCGTGCAACTTCGCATGGGTTCCCGCTCACATAGAGGTGCTAGACTTTGTCGAGGATGGTGGCAGTTTCGCCCACGCAGTGGGCAACACCTGGGCAGACTCATTTGCAGATTGCGGTGCATGTGATGGACACGTTGACAGGCAACCACAAGAGCCTGCTGAAGCTTTCGGAGAACACCGCCAGATTTCTTGGATTCATGGCGACTCGTGCTTTGAAAATGTACAAGGCCGTGGGAGAGGCCATGCCTGTGCCGCCTAACGTGACCCCTAAGCCCGCTGCGAAGCTTTCTTCGAGTGAACACAAATTTGATGCTCTTGATGAAGTGCCTGTGCGTTGTAGGCATTGCAGCCAAGAAGCCGGGACTTAGGAGTCCTACAGGGCCCTTTTCACCACCCCGTGTTCGGGCACCCCTGTCCTCGGTCAAGGCCACCGGTTGGCCAGATGGGGCTCCGCGGGGATTTGCGCAACCTGTGGCCATTACTACAGTTTGCAGATTCATAAGCGAGATGGGAAGCTCAAGGAAGACTGCCTTGGGTCTCCGTCGAATCGAGGCACGCTCGCGAATGTCAGATCTCACGCCAAGAGGCTAAATGCTGGGCGTGACCCGAATAATGGGAAATCCCTGTCGCTCGAGCATCGAGGGGAGGTCGAGATTGGCAATGGGGCAGCCGCCGTGCCGAGCGTGGTGGCTGCCCGCGGCCGACCCTGGCCTTCGCTCGCCGTAGCCCCTGGAGCCTCGACCTCCTCCAGCGGTGTGCTCCGGTCCAGGCTGACGCCCACCGCCCCCCTCCCTCCTCCTCCGCCTCCTCCTCCTCCTCCTCCTCCTCCTCCTCCTCCCCTCCTCCTCCTCCTCCTCCTCCTCCTCCTTCTCCTTCTCCACCTCCTCCTCCTCCTCCTCTTCCTCATGCCGTCTGGACGGGGCCTCTGGAGTGGTCCGAGCAGCACTCCTGTGCTCTGGATCGGCCTCAGGGCGGATCCTCCTGGGGGCCTTGGGAGGCCCTGGGGCGCCCCGCCAGTTCGGCCCACCCTCCCGTTCCCTCGGGTTCGGGTGCGGTTGCTGGACTTGGACCCTCCTCCCTCTCCTGATTCTCCTCCTGCTGCTGATCTTTGTGGTTCCATCCCCTTCTCCTCCTCCTCCTCCTCCTCCTCCTCCTCCTCCTCCTCCTCCTCCTCCTCCTTTTCGGGGAAACCAACGGGTACCGATAATGCTACTCCCCGGACCTCTCCCCGGGTGCGTTCTGACAGGAATTTCGAGGGCAGTCCAGCGGTGGCGACGAGGGCCTCCCAGGAGGCCCAAAACGAGGAAAACGAGGGAAGGACAGCGGTCTCCGTCTCAATGGGCCCTGGAAACGACAGAGACAAAGCCGTCTTTTTACCAATTCCGTTGTGCCGTTGTTTTGCTGATTCTGTCGCCGTTTTTGTCGCCGGTTCAGGTTCCTGTTCCAATGCAGGAGCCTCTTTTGCCGTCTCCGGTCGCCGTCTTTAACAAAAACCGTATCCGTGGTCAAGAGACACTATTTCGAAAACGGTAAACAAAAACACGGCCCTGCCGTTTCCAGGGCGTACTAAGATCTCGGTACCTTTGCCTCGTTTTCTGAACTCAACAAGCCTGGTTGTTTAATTCAAAAGCCTCGTTTTGTGAATTCACAATCCTCGTTTTTTGAATTCAAAAAACCTGACTCTTGGCGGGTGCTGGCCAAGCTTTGCCCAAGCTGCCGACGAGCCGCGGGGCCCGAGGGAATCTGCATGATGGTGCGGCCTCACCCCTGGCTCGGCGGAAGAGCATATGAGTCGAGCCCAGAGAGGCCCAAGGACACACAGATAGATGGATAGACAGGCAAATCCCAAGACTCCCCATCTTTTTCCATATCTTCAGGATTGTCTTGGCGATTCGTTGTGTCTGTATGTGTTCCTCCTCCTGAGAGGCTGCCCACCTGCGCAAGGCGTGCCCGAGCTTGCGTTAAGCTCAATACTCGAAGATGGGCTCCTGCTTCCTGGCCTGTCTGCGATTGTAGGTGTGCCCGTCAATGTTCGGGTCGTAAACGGGCTCGTCGTTAGACCAGATGTCGTCCGAGTCGACCTTCGGAGTGACCGAAATGTCGTCGTGGCTCTCCTCCGAGATCTCATGCGAGAGCTCGTCGCCGTGGACCATGCCGGGCGTCGGTGAGTACTCGCTGTGCGAGACAGACCAGGTGGCGTTTTCGAAGTTTGCCATGGTCTGGAAGACGATGAGGGAGGTGCACGTGGACACTGCCATGGCGCTCGCGCTGAACGCAATGGCCGAATCCTGGAAGGCCACGCCTGTCGTCAGGGTCGAGAGCAGCTCGGGCCTGGTGGACGACGAGTGGGTCTTCAAGCCGTACCTCATCAGCTCCCCAACCTGACTGCTTACGCGCGGGGGAATGAGAGGGAATGTGGGACGGGAGGATAAGAATGAGCAGGAAAGCCACCACCACCACCAGCCCCGCCTGGTTGCCAACGTACAGGTCCCCTGTCGAATCGGCAACTGGCAGGGACCAACTGTTCGGGTTGCACTTCTCGCGGCCGCCCATGGCCCGGCGGATATCCGCACCCTCCTGGGGGCGATCAGCAGGAGGAGGAGGAGGAGAAGATGAGGAGGAGAAGGACGAGATGGAGAAGAAGTAGGGGGAAGAGGAGGAGTAGTAGTAGTAGTAGGAGGAGGAGGAGGAAAAGGGCCTTGTCGCCAGCACAAAAGCCGGTCCACAGCGTCGGGCCGTCCTTCATCCACCGGATGTGGCCGTTGTTCGGGTCGAGGCCCCAGATTTTGCTGGGGGAGCCGAGGTAGCAGTTGTGGCCTTAGAAAGCAAAACAAAACACCATCCCCTCCTTCTGCTCCTCAACCTCCCACCCGTGCATCTTTCTCCTATTCGGCTACACGCGAGAGTGACACCCCCGGCGAGGCCAGCAATTGGTGAGTGGCTTGAGGGGCCCGCAGGGCGGGACCTCCGAGCGCGCAGGCCGCCATGCTGGGAAGACCCCTGTGGGCCCGCACCACAGGTCGACCCGGCAAAGGGCCACTCTTACGCGTCACCGACCCATCCCCTCGCCTCTCGCCTGGGAAGCAGACACCAGAAGCAGACAGTCGCACGGCCTGGATCCTGATCTTTCGGAGGCAGCTCCTGGGAGGTCTTCGTACGAAGGATTGAGGCTATCAAGCCCGATAAGAGGGACACTCAGCCATGTTAAACCCCATTCAGCCCAGGATCAAGCCGGATGGAGCCTGATTGGGAGGACCCTCCAAGCCTGTGTAATATTGTCTTCTTCCGCAGATATACCAGTGCCGTGGCCGAATCTAACCTCCCATGAGATACAACTACCGAGTAATCGCGACAGGCCCTTAGACCCCCACCAATAATGAAAACTAACTATCTGTTCGACGCCAGTATTGACGGACTTGGGCCCCACCAATCATGGAACATAATTATCTCTCCGCGGCACCCGCCGCACAACAACAACGACGACGACGACGGCGACTACGACTACGAGGACGAGGAGGATGAGGAGGTGGAGGAGGATGAGGAGGAGGAGGAGGAGGAGGAGGAGGAGGAGGAGGGAGAAGGAGGGGGAGGAGGAGGGGCGGAGTTTATCCTCCACCGAGAGAAGCAGGGGGGGCTTTCAGAACTAAAGACCTCCTGGGATTAATCCCTGACCCTGATCTGGCCTGAAGAGCGGAAACACCTTTCGGATCAGGGGCCCCGACCGACCGCGCGCCTCGGCCCCGCCTCGCTTGAGTCGATCTGGTCGAGCGGCTCGACCAGTCGACCCCATGTCCCGATTCAGCCCTGGTTGACGGATCCCTGGAGGTCCGACGCTCCGAAAAAATTGGAGCGGCGCGGCGAGCTTTTGGCCGTCTTCGGCCTCCAGGGGCCCTCGTCAGGCCTCGGGGCCGTCCAACAAGAACGACTCAGGACGAACAGGCGGCCCCAGGGAAGCGGTCCAGCCCTCCAGGGCCCACGCATCGCAAATATTGAAGCGGCCTGATGTCTCTGGGAAGGATCTTTTCGCCATCAGTCCACAGTCCCAGGAGGAGGAGGATGAGGAGGAGGAGGAGGAGGAGGAGGAGGAGGACGACGAGAGGAGGAGGAGGAGCAGGAGGAGGAGGAGGAGGAGGGAGAAGGAGGAGGAGGGGAGGAGGAGGAGGAGGAGGAGGAGGAGGAGGAGGGAGGAGGAGGGAGAAGAAGGAGGAGGAGGGAGGAGGAGGAGGAGGAAGAGGAGGAGGAGGAGGGAGAAGGAGGGAGGAGGAGGAGGAGGAAGAGGAGGAGGAGGAGGAGGAGGAGCAGGTCTGGGTCTGTGGCCCATGGTGACCACCAGGCGGGTGTGGTAGGAGGGGCTGTTGAGCGCGCTGATGCTGGCGCTGGCGGGAGGCTCGGGCGTCTCGGCCTCCCAGACCCGCCTGCCCGAGGTGGCGTTGTAGCCGCGGATGAAGCCCCTGGGGCGGGGGCGGCCAAGAGAAGGGCGTGCAAGATTTGGACGCCCGAGATGGGCACGGAAAGAGTGGGTACAATGCCCAACATCAAATGTTGGCCCAAACCAACCGCGGCCGCTGTTGGGCAGGCGGCCTTCTGTCTCGAATGGACACGGGCCGCGGCGGCGCGGACAGCGAGTCCTGTTCAAAATGAACAGGAACTGCTGTTGGGCATTGTACCCATTCTTTCCGTACCCTTTTCGGGCGTCGAGACAAGAGGGGGGGGGGTGCAACTCATGGCCGGCGGCATGTGCGGGGCCCAATGGGGGGTCCAGGGGCGTAGTGAGATACTGAGATACGAGGAGGCGCCATGAAATCTGGGGAAACATCACGGCCCACGCCATGAGATCCGCCCCCCCTAGTCATCCCCCCACCTCTTTGCCGACCCCGACCTGGAGCCCGGCCACGTCCAGCACGAGGGGAGGATGCCAGGCGCCGGGTAAGGATTGCAGCGGCCATTTTCGTAGTGCTGCACGCCTGTCGGCGGCGAGCCCAGGGGGGGGGAAGCGAGAAGGGGAAGGCCTTCTCAGAGGGCTCGGCGGAAGTCCCCCGGGCATTCTGAGAGGTTGCCTCGGCCTTCCCCGAAGACACAGACAACTTCTCAGAAAGCGCGATAGCTTCTGAGAAGTCCCGCCGCCTTCTGACAAGACCTTCCCCGTCTCACTTCCCCCCCATACGCTCGTCGCCGAGCCTAGGGCAATGATTATGTTGTGGCCCGGACTGTAAACGGCGGCTGCATTGCTGTGCGTCCCGATGTCGCCGCCGGCCTTGAATCGTTCGGCGCCGGTCAGGTAGTCTAGGCCGTACAGCCTCCCCTCCCAGTCCTTCAGGGGGCCCAGGGGCACACAAATAAATACGCACAAGACCCAGGATTCCACATACTTTTCCGTATGTTCTGGAGTCTCGTCTTCCCCCGTCCTATACATATGTATACATATATATATAGATAGATAGATATCCCTTGTTCTCATGGGAATCGACGTTTACTTGTGTCTGTGCGCTTTTGTTCCCCCCTGAGTCCTGGAACATCACGGAGGTTCCCGGGCCCCAGAGTGGGACCATGTTCCACGTGGGCTGGAAAGTCTTGTACTCCCAGAGGGCGCTGCCGTCCGCGGCATTCAGGCCCCGAACGTACTGATTGCCCGGCGTGAGGGGGTTCGTCTGGTTGCGGTACCTGTAGCAGTAGCGGTCGGTGCAGCGGTCGGTGGCGGCCACCACGACCCCGCCTTTGCAGCCCACAGACCCCTTGACGCCGGCGATCTCGTTCGAAGCCCAGGTTGCCCACAGCTCGTCTCCGCTGTCGAGGTCGAGCGCGAACACGTAGCCAGAGGTGGTGCTCCCGACCAGCATGGCAGGCAGCGTGGTGTGTGCGCTGGCCCGCTCCACGCGCGTGAAGTGGTCTCTCATGGTATGGAGCTCCACCACCGTCTTGTTCCCAGTGCGGTCGAACTGGACCATGGCCCTGCCGTCTTTGCCCTGCTGGGCGGCGCGCACACGGGGGTAGGGGAGGGGGGGAAGCTTCTCAGAAGGAAGCTGCCTCTTCGAGGGCGCCGGCCTCACATCTATAGTCCAGGCCCGCGCCTTCTAAGAAGCGGGGGTGATTCTAAGAAGCCGTCCTCCCCCCCCCCTATCCCCCTCTGCGCGTGGCCGACCTGCTCGCCGGGGACGAAGTTGTAGATCCTACCCTGGTCGCCAGCCTTGTAGAGCTCCCTGCCGTCCGCCCAGTAGCTCGCACCAGGCTTCACCTGGACGAGGTCGCCGACCTGGAAGTCCTTGAGAGGAGACCTCGAGGGGGCCCAGGGACACACGAAGAAATACAGACACATCCCAGCACTCCCCATCTTTTTCAATCTACTCTGGAGTCTCGCCCCCCCCTTCACTCCCCGAGTTTCCCCAGATTGCCATGAGAATCGACGATGACTTGTGTCTGTGTGTGGTTCTTTCCCTCCTGAGACCTGTCAGATTCCGTGCCCTTGGCCCAGTCTGGCCGCAACAGGCTCTCCTGCTCCTCGTTCACCTTCTCGTCCTGCACCCCCGGGGGCAACAGAGACACAGGCCGTCTCCAACGCCAGGCCAGGCCCACCAAGGCGAGCGCGCCAGTCGTTGATTTTGGCAGCTTGTGTCGGTGCCCCTGTTCCTGCATTTTGTTCTCAACAGCGTGCCAATCGACGCTCTTGGCAGCTCAGCACTTTCGACGCGGACTTCGACCGCACTTCACTTCGCTTCCAAAGTGAGGCGCGCTTTGCCGATTTGTTTGAACGTGCGACCTCCCCTTCACACGGTTCTGGCGAAGGACCCAATGAGACGCAATACCGATGATGAGAAGAAGAAGAAGCGGGTGAGCAAGAATACTGGGACGTGGAAAAGAATAACGAGGACTTGCAAGAGCGGGGGCCATACCTGACAAGTGCGATAGGGAAGCACATGGCGGGCTCCGGAAACAAAGCACCTTCCGCCATCTTCCGCCAGCGGGGCCGCACGCGGACTGTCCCAGTGGGGCCATCGGTGGGACTCCCTGTGGGGCCACGAAGCAAGTGACGGGCGTGACGGAATGTGACGTGATGATGAAGATACCAGTGATGATGACGATGCTGATGCTGATGCTGATGCTGATGCTGATGCTGATGCTGATGATGATGATGATGATGATGATGATGATGATGATGATGATGATGATGATGATGACGGTGATGATGATGACGGTGATCTTCCCAACGGGCTGGTGGCGATGAACGGGGTGGCAACCGATGAAGTCATACATGATGCGGCAGTCGTACACATCGTACAGGACAAGCAATTCAGGTACTGGGCCCGAAAAGTGCCAGACCGTCTGCGAGGACGGGCGCCAAGGCTAGCCGAGGATATGGTGGGCAAAAACGCAGGCAGAGCAGGAGGGAGGGGGATACGATCAGGCGCGATCAAGCAATGCTCAACACTCGCCACCCGAGAGAGTCGGGGAACTACCGAAAGGGCGGCGGCGGCGGCCAACACAGGCGGAAGTGCGCTCGAACTTGCCAGGACTTTGCGCACAGGAGAGGGTAGTTGGACGTAACAAGACACGAGCCGATGTGTGCAGCCACGAACTAGTCGCATCGGTTGTGCGCCATGGAGGTGGCGACCGCAACGGCGATGGAGTCGGAGCTCCACCCGCGGCATTCCAGACAGACTCCGCGACCGCCCAGACAAGGCCTGGCGGCAGCAGCATCCCGCCTGTGCTTGTCCGAAAAGGGAAGGCGGGCGGCGCGGGCCGCGGAAAAAGACGCACTCCCTCGCAGCAGAGAGCGGGGCCAAAAAGGCTGGGTTGCCAGCTCAGAGATCAACGAGCCCGTGCGTTTGCGTGCCAACGTACCCCCGAACAGATCCAAACCCATGAACGGGATGCCGACTTCGAACGGCAACTAAACCGCCGCCAGCAGCAGCTGCACAAACAAAGCGGAGCAACGGCAGGAGGGGCGCTCAGGAGAGGGCGCACAGGAAAAGCAGCGGCGACGACAGCAGAAACAGCAGTGGAGCACGCATGGGGGGGCGCACGAGGACACGCGCAAACATGCGGACCTAGCAAAGACAAGGGGCGGCCCGCTAGAAAACGTCAGGACCTCGCGCGCGCGAGGGAAGCTGCGCCCAGTTTTGGAACGCCCCCCTCAGCCGAGGGCAGGCTCGAAGCGCCAGGGGGATGAGAGAGGCGAGCCGAAATAGAGCGCGGGCTAGACGAACCCACTGGGGGGCACGATAGCTGGCAGGCCGAATCGGGGGGGGGGGGGGGGGCGGCGCTGCGTCGATAGTCCCAACCTGCCCTCGAGGACGCGTTCAATCGGCGTCCCCGACGGAGCGGCTCGCAACCGCAACTGAAGGCGGGCGCGAACAACGCTTTCGGTCAAGATGCCACGGGCAACGTCGCGCTCATTGTCGGGGGCCCGACCGTCGACGCAGCGGGGGGCAGGGGAAGGGGCGGCGGGGCCACTAAAGGTGACGGGGTGGGCCCATGTCGAACGTGGGCCAGCAACGCGGGGACAGCGTTGGCAATGGCGCCAATCGGCGGGGCCCCCGCGACAGCGAAAACAAAGCGACGCCAAGACTGGAAGCGAAATCGAACCGAAATCCAGACCCCGCGGCGCAGGGCCCTCCTGGCAGCGACGAATTCTACGCAGTCTGACTTGGAAAACTGGATGCCAAAGTGCAGGGGTGAGGGGGAGGGGGGTCCACTTCAGGGCCTTTCTGGGTGCTCTACCAACCATCGCGCCATATTGCTCCGCTCATCTCAGAACACGAGTGACTTGGGCTCGCGTCGCAGACGCGCGGTCGCCAGGGCAAATAGGCGCGGCGAGGGGGGGGGGGGGCCGAGACGCCATGGCCATGCAGGACCGAAGCGAATGCACAAACCATCAACGGGATAACCGACCAGGGATGAGCTCCACGGGGTGGTCAACAATCTGCCGTTGGCAAGCTTGGAACCGTAGCTAGGCGTAGCCAGGGCTGGGGCACCTGAGCCGCGCGATGAACTGACGCTCGCGCCACGCGACGAAGCAAGACGCGCTGTGCGTGGCCGCCTGCGTTCCAGAGATTTTCAATCACCTTGCCGCTGAAGCTATGCCGAGGGCCTGCGTAAATTGTCTGCAGCGCCGATCTTCAAGTTGGGACAGACTCGGAGCGGGACGATGGATTTCGAGCACGTAGCTGGGCGCGGAGACAGCCCGAATATTGTCGGCGACGGTCACCTCCGCTAGGCCGGCACCCGCGGGGCGACTGTCGCGCGCGCCGAGGAAGCACGTGTCGGACTGCGTCGGGGAACTATCGAGGCGACCATCGGGCTCCACGTACACCCTCAGAAACCTGCGCCAAGTCACCGCAAATAATCGCTCACATCCACCACTCAGGTTCCCAAGAAGCACTTGAAAAACATCCAGGTCCTCCGGCCCACAGACAAGTGCGATGCATTTCCAGGAAAGCAGCTCCGAACCGATAGTGCCAGAGAGCAAGCACAGCTGACCGAAGATTGGGACCAGATCGGGGCAGGGGTCGTTCACGAGGAACCGAAGGCCGTCTGCGTCACCTAGAAGGCTGAACCCGACGGGGCCCGTTGCCCTCAGCGGGCGGCACACTGGGACCAGGGCCATCGCAAACAGGGGCATGCGCGCTGGGCCACCCTGACGAAGGCCGCGACCGACCGCGATGGAAGCCAGCACCACGCCACAAAAGTGAGCCAGAGCAACGGCGCCCTGGCACAGATGATCGGAAAGCGCAAGGCCAGGCAAAGGCACCCGTATGTTCTAGAACGGATAGCGCCCACTCAACAAATCAGTATGGGGAAAGCGGCTCTGATGTCCGTGAATAGCTGAGCTGCGCCCTGTCGACCCGCGAGGTGCGCCAGCAAAACGTCGGCTTCCCACCGCGCAATGTCACCAAGCATAGAGCGACCCGAGACGCCGCCAGACGGGCGGAAGCGAGTGGTGCGCATGCAGGCCCGCGCGAGAGTGCGAGCGGCAGCTGCCGTCGCAAGTTTGCAATCAACGCATCCACTTGAGAGTGGGCGAGTCGACGAGGGCTTCCGAGCATGGGCGGCGGTCGAGTAAGTGGGGTGATGCCCTTTGGCCCCGAAAACCTTGAGCACCTCGTGGAAATCGTTCGGGTGGGGATCGCAGGGGTGAACGGCGAAATGGCGGTGGAAATCGAACGGGGCGCCCGTAGCTCGAGGGCGCTTCCAGAAAGCGCATGGCAACATCATCGACCCCTGGCGTTGAGTCCCCAGCACTGTTGACTAGTTTGGCAAATGCAGCACTCCCCGAAGACCACGCCATATGAGGTACGACAACAGAAGAGCGCTGGACATGAGAAGCAAGAGTAAGCCAGAGAGCGCGATCGGAAGTCGGAACAGCAGAGACATAGCCCCAATTGCGGGCGAGTTCGGCGCTGGCATGCCGCGCAGACGAACGAGGTGCACCAATGAACCCCGCGGGGCTGTTACCAAGGCGATCCGACCTGTTCAGACTGCACCACCGTTCGCGATTCCGCCGTGCACGCGCGCGCTTGCGCAACACTTCGCGCCCTGGGGGATGCCTTGCCTGCAAGGTGGCCTCTTCTTCATCGTCTAGGAGCCGACGGTGCAGCGCCGCTACGCGCGCGCGCAGACCAGGTGGATCGAAGAGGGCGCCAGTGTCAACGTGAAAGAAAGATGAGGGCGCGGGGCAAGCTCGCGCGGCGGACGACAATATACTGAACAATTGCGCGGATACCGCGGAGAGCAACAACGCGCCGCCGCGGAAACTCGTGCGGGGAGGTCGCCAATCGACGAAGCATCGTCGTCCGAAGCGCCTCGCGCGTCGCCGCCTTGGCTCTTGAAGACGCGTCGATCGCTCTACGCATGTCCGCTAGAATGCCGCGGAACTCATGTTTTGGTGGCCCAGCCAAAGGTCGGCGGATGACCAAAGAGACGAGGCCACGGGGCAAACGTGATCACCGCAGGAACATGACGAGGCGGGCGCCCAAGGTTCGCGGACATTCTGATGGATGCTCCAGCAACGACAACATCCATCGCTGCCGCTGGGGTTGGGGGGCGCCGACGCGCGCCGGATCGAGACGGGCGTTCGAAACAACCTCGGGGCCCCGACGTGCTCGGCGCTCAGCGAGTTTCGACCGGCCCCCGCAGACAGCGTGCCACTCGCGATTGATGGCGGCGCCGCCTCTACCTGATTGCCCTGCCTCAAGATCAAGCCGCCGCTCCTGGATGGAGGGGCAGTTGAAGCCGCGCAAGTTTAGGGGCGCGGCAGGGGGCGCGGAAACCAAAGCAGAGCGGGTGACAGAGGGACAATGATGGTAGAATCCAGACCCTGCATCGACATTCGTCGCGCGAACGGCAAGATGGTAGGATCGCCCCATCACAGAACGCACGGCGCCTCACTAGGAAGTAGGCACTGCATAGTGCAACTAGTGAAACACCTGGCCAACTTCGCGTCTATGCGAACCAGGGCACCCCGCCCCGGGAGACGCATGGGGCGCGGATTCAGGACAAACTCGCGCTTCGGAAAGTCC